ACCACCGGACCACGGGAGGAAGATGCCACAATCTGTTTCTATAAATAATCTCACTAAGGATATCGTCTGGAGCAGTACTACTCTATGCTACAGGGTCTCTGTAAGATGGAATCACACAATGACCCACACAGGAAAAGACCTCCTCATCCTAGAAAGGTACATTCATAGGCATCTGGGAAATGTCCAAAGGAAGAGAAAAACCTAAAACGACAATTGTTCTCATAATAAAGCCAAGTTGCGCTACAGGCTTCTACCCGTGACTTGAGAATAAGGCAAGGCTAGGAGATGTGACAGGTCCATCCAACAGGTGGGAGCATGAAGTGTGGGTGGTGAATACATGGATGGGAAGTAGTTCATGCTCCATGGGCATTCCAAGATGCCACAGCAACCCTTGAACAGTGAAGCTGGGTTCGAATCCCGCATCCAGGCTCTCAAGGCCAACCCTCGCCTACCTGACCTGTTGGCCACCACCACTCCAGGCATTTTCCTGTCCTTCACTGTCCTCTCACCAGCACTCTGTCCTCCCCATTCAGCCCACTTCCAAGAGCTGAACATACTCCAACACCTGCAACTGGTCTTTCAACTACTCCTCTAACGTAGTCTCTAATGAAGTCAGAGACTCAGAGAAGACAGTGCAGAGCCTCTCTTTGCTTCAAGTATCTCTCGAATGAAGGACAGGGAAGACATGCTTCCCTGGGACAGCACTTCCTGAGAGAGCGGGACTCTCCCAAGTCAAGAGTGATGCCTGACCAATGAAAGCATAGCCAGGCCAACAGTCTATGGGGGAAATAAGAGTGAGTCTCAGAACCAAGCACCTATTTTCTCATTTCAAATGTGAGGATCAGGGGTTTCTGATGGCCTAGTGGCAAGAAGGTGCCCTGCAATCCCAGAGGTATGTGGTTCAAATCCACCAGATGTTCTGCTGGAGAAGGAGGGGCAATCTCCTTCTGTACCAGTGAGATCTGATTTGATGGTACACACACACAAAATTTTTTTTTAAATTGAAAATATTTTAAAAAGTGAGGGTCATATTCTTTACCTTAGAGTGGTCTAATAAAGGTTGTGAAACACCCAGGACAGTGTCTGGTAAATCTTTAACAAGCATTGGTTACTATAATTCACAAAGCAGCTAAAAATATTCTCAAATTTGCTAATCTGCATACAAGAATATGACTGTTGTTAGGTGTCTTCAAGTTGATTTTCAGTCATGTGACAGAGTAGAACGTCCTCCGCTCGTAGGATTTTTGGCATTGTCTGTAGGGGGATGGACTACTGACGTAAAAGGCAGCATCTCTCCTAGGGTTCAAATCCACCCGTGGTTTCTCAGGAGAAAGATGGGGAATCTCCTCCTGTTAGATTTACAGCCTTTGACACTCAGCAAAGGGTTAGCTATGTAAGCTGGCTGAGGTTCCATGATAATGAGTTTGTGGCTTCAAATCTTTATTGGAGCAAAAAGCCAGACTTTTATCCTTCAGAGCTACTGGGGGAGTTCAAAGTTAAACAGCTGAGCACTTCACTGTAACAAAGACTTCCTTAACTGTAAGAAAATATATATACATGGACAGCATGGAAAGATGGACTTAAGTAGCTAAGAAAAAAGCCCTGGGGTGGGGGGGGTGGGGGGTGGGATTTCATACCAAGGAAAAAATTTTTCTTTTACTTTTCAAAGTGAGGAGTGAACTGGGGAGGGAGTGGGGGCTGTGCAGGGAGAAAAGTGCAACAATGAATGAATAGAAATCCAAAATCTCTGTAAATGTTCATTAAAATTAATAAAATAAATTTTTTTTTAAAAAAAGCTCTAGTGGCACAATTGGTAAGTGCTTAGCAGTGAATAGAAAGGTCAATGGTTTGAACACACTGAGAAACAGGGATGCAACAGTCTGTTTCTATAAAGGTTTTCCAGTCTTGGATCCCCTGAGGGCAGCCTGGCTCTATCCTATTGAAATCCCTTTGTCTTATCCTGTCCTTGTTAGGGGATTAGATTTGACTGCATTGAGTTTAAGTAGCTGAACATATATTAACAGCAAATACAGCAGGAAAAAAATAATACTATATTGTTGTTGATTGCCATGAGTAGAGCACAATTCATAGCGACCCTATGAACAAAAGACTTAATGCCTTTCTATAACTATCATCATTTCTCCAAATTAATAGAGTTTCCAGAGGTATGTGGTTTAGGAAGTGGATGCCATTTCTGCTTCCAAACCTGTTTTACAACTGAGAGCTCCTCCAAACACTGTTCACATTGGGAAACCAGTATGACATTTGACACTCCAACAGCACAAGGTTCAGCATCACAACAAACCCAGATTACCTCAGTACAGCACATTAAAAAAGAGCAATATACAAAGTAGAATGTTCCTCCAAATATAACAACAGTCTCACTTAGCAGTGGTTAAGTTTCATCAAGTCAAATATGACTCTAGTGACATCATTTCACTATGTTTATAGCATTTTCAGAGGAACTTGGTTTAGGCAATGAATGCCACCCCTGCTTCCAAACCTGAATCAATCTGGAAGCTCCTCTAAACACTGTCCATGATAGGTAACTATTATGGTATTTTACTTAACTATGATGTGAGCTGACTGGATTTGGCCTCCTATAAAGGCATCTGATGAGTGGAGCAGCTGGATTCTACAAAGGTGTGTTTTCTGTTTGGGTGTGGTCTATTGCTCACAGTTGGATGTGAGCGACTGGATCTAGCTTATGTTTAAAAAGGTATTCGGGCATGAAGGCCACATTCTTCTCAGTAGTATAGCACTGGTTTATTTGCTGTACAGAGGTAACTCCTGGTTACTGTGATGGTAAACACTGTGATATTGATGTGTCAAATGTAATAACGGTATCCATGGTTGGACAGTGTTTGGTGGAGCTCTCAAATTAAAACAGGCTTGGAAGCCAGAGTGGCATCCACTTCTGAAACAGCTTGCATCCAGAAGCTATGAACTTAGAGAACCAATAAAAGTTATGTGTGTTCAGGACTTTTATTCATAGGGTCACTATGAGTCGTATATGACTCGATGGCACTTAACAACAACCTGGCACAGTGTTCAGCATCACAGCAACTCCACGTTATTCAGTACAGCAACTAGACAAACAACTGCTGTACCACTTAAAGAATGTTCATCCTAACATTAATAAATTTGTAGTAGACCCTCTGCCTTTGGGTCCTTGTTGGTTAAGTTGGGCAAAAGTACAGCCAGCTGACACATGCTTGTGGAGGGGAAAAAAAACAGTAACACAAACCAAAAACTTTCCTTATGTGACTCTCATCAAAACTTCTGGAGTGAAGCCACTCCACAGGATCCCCCAGGCCAGTTGCCAATATTATATTAATATTATTAATTAATTAATTAATATAATTAGGAGAAAATAGGCAATCTCCTCCTGTGCAATTAATTGCCTCTGAAAATCCTCCGGAGGATCAGTTATGGGTTGGTTCTGACTCAATTCTACACAACAACACTACTGTGGTATAATGGGGAGCTTTATGGTTCAAATCCACGAGCTCTCTTCAGAAGGAGGATGGGCAGTTGTCTCCCATGAGATGAACTGTCTCTGAAAATGCACTGTAAGGTCAGTTCTCTCTTGATGGAACACAACAACAGTATCATATATTTTAATTAAAGAATAATCCCCAAAGGTAAATAATTAAAGCTTGAGAGAAAAAAAAAAACCTACAAATGCACTAATTACTAGAAATTTATGAATATTCATATCTAAGGTTGTTGTTATTGTTATGTACTGTTGAGCCGCTTGCAACTCATAGCGACCCTACATACAAGGCAGCAGCCCTCATTTGAACCATGACAATCCTTGCCAAAAAAAAAAGTAAATATGCTTTGCAAAGGCATTTGACTGTGTGGATCATAACAAACTGTGGCTGACTTTGAAAAGAATGGAAATCCCAGAACACTTGATCGTTCTAATGTGAAACCTATACTTGGACCAAGAGGCAGTCATCACAACAGAGCAAGGGAACACTTCATGGTTCAAAATTGGGAAGGGTGTACGCCAGGGATGCATCCTATCTCCATACCTTTTCAACCTGTATGCAGAACAGATTATCCGGGAGGCTGGGCTCTAAGAGGAGAAATGTGGGGTCAAGA